TAACATTATGAGGGTAACAGTAGGAATTCTGAACAAAGTGAACTATAAGGTATGAACTTCAGAACGACTGTGCAGCATGCAAAAAAACATGACAAACAACAACAAATACAATGATGGCGCATACCCAGTAATCTCCCTCCTAATGTGAAAGGATGGATCATAGCAGGATCCAGTTTCAATATGGCATGGTTCATTTCCAGTTAGCCTCCCCTTGGTTTTATCACCCTTGCAGAACCTAATTCCCCATTCCAGAATGAAGTGTTAAAGTGGTTTAACCGGCCACCCCAGCGATAAATAAATATTGACACCACCCGCAGCGTGAGCCACATGGTCAGTAGAGTAAAGCTAGGAAAGTCCTTAGATCCAGTCTGTTGGTGCTCCTTAATTTAATCTGATTACAGGCACTGTAACAATTACTATGGTTCATTTAGTGTGATCACCTGATTGTGTACTTGTTCTGGATTGGCTGCAGGAGGCTATGGATGACTACTCTGTGCCAGCTAAGACAGTTGTCCAACTGCTGTACATTCACAGTGGGGACTTTGATAGCGTACTGAAACACCTACAGACTGGACGGTATCCTGAAGGTATGTGGACTTCTGAGCAAACTTTGAAAACGTAGAAAGAAACGTTACTGGTGTGATGAGAAATGGTAGAAAGAGGGTGAAATGCTTGGATCTGTTGTGGAAGTGGTGGGCACTCTGACTAGAAACACCCCATCACTGACAAAGAAAAAAAAAGTGGGAAAAAGCGGCACTTGGAGCGCCAGCGAAGACCATAAGTTTCAAGAGCCATTGGTCACCTGTGATAAGCCCTTTCCCCTCCAACGTGTTTTCCCACCAACGGGGTGACCTTCCTATGTGAAATATACCCTTTGATGTTCCTGCACAGAGCTGATACGAATCAAATCCATTTTTCCCCTGTTATGTTGTCCTTTGTTCACTGTTCAGGACGTTGCTTGTGTTGTTGAGTTCAGGCATTTGACACCATGTGTCCTGTACCATATACTTGCTCCTAGTTGATTCATTATGGTGCTTTTTAAGTCTCCTCAAGACTTCGTTGAGAGGGAGGAAAAGAAAGAAAAAGAGCATGCAAACAGGAGATGCCATATGTGCCAATCTTTTGCCCGTGGTTACTTTTAGGCATACCTTATTGGACCAAGGAGGATGACAAGAAGTTGAACAGCTCCAACCCCAAAGACATCCAGGAGCTGTGCGGGATGTACGGCCAGGAGGCAGTCATGAAGCGCCAAGCTTTCTTCAACTGAAGTGGAGAAGAAAGACCACAAAGCAAAAACTGACCGTGTATGAGATCTCTTCTCATTCAGAATCATGTTGTAAATGCCATATTCCTCTATATTAATTGCTTCACAAAATTTGTTCAAGATTTCATCATCAAAGATACAATTCGTGCATTAATTCCAAGGCCGTCATAGAAAAAAAGATGCCTTCTTATCTTCACAATTGTTCCTAAATTAAAAAAAAGAACAAACAAAACAAAGCATGTCTGAATGATGATAAGACTTTCCCTGTCGACAGACCATTTAAAGGAACATTCACAAGTGAATTCTCAAGAAAGGTGGCACACAAAGTGATTTGTGAAGAAAACTGAAAACAGGCTGCCATATCAATGTAATCTTTGTTTAACCTGAATAGAACTGAGGTTTTCAAGGAGAGACCCAGACACACATTTATCGGGGGCAAATGTTTTGCATTCGGGGTAAATTTTAGGAATTTCTTTAAACAACCTTTTGTGGCCTTTCTTGGGGTGAGGCCAAAAAATGGAGGGGGGGTTACATGTTTTTGGAAAGGAAGGAAAATGAAATATTCCTGAATCTTTGCCTGTCTTTGCTTCCAATTTGCTTCCGTCTTTGCTTTCAAAACTTTCGTCTGTTTTGCTGGAGGGAGTGTTAAGAGTCAGATTCCAAAACCACACAAAAGCATTTATCTTGAGGACAGAGGTAAAATTTTGGTTCAGTTTAGTGGACAGCTTTGTCATAATCAGTTATAGTTTGCACTTGCATATATGTTATTGGCCTTTCTGCTTTGAGCAGAGTTGTTCGTGGTTAACTCACCTTGGAAAACTAAGCAGTTTCTTCAATTGGCAGGTCTTAATGTTGTGAAATTGTTAAAAAAAGAATTAAAAAATCACAGGATGGTAATGGAAAAACTCATGAGGGTTTGACACTCGATTCAGAAATGATAATCAGGAATGATAATCCTCTTAGAAATGTAGAGGGACTGTTACGGACTGCCTTTCCAGTTGAAGTGTCGAAGAGTTCACTTGCTCACCTGGTAGTCCTACTTGTTCTCTCAACTTTTTCCATTAAAGTGTAATTTCTTTCATGATTTCAAGAAGTGTTGGTTTTTCAATTTTATCAACACAAGAATGGTGTTGAATTTGCTCTTTGGAGTTGTGAAAACAAAACTTTAAAGGTTCTCGACAGGTGTTTATTTTTGATTTCAGAAAAGGACACAAGTTTGAAAGCAGTGTCCTCCGATGTTATTTTTTGTATAGTTGTATATGTAAGTTATTCTAGTGTGCCTTTTTTTCCAAAGGCATTCTTACATTTTATCATTTGATATCAATAAAAAGCGTTATCACCTGTTAATTTTTGAATAGAAACTGTTTTGCCGTTTCATATTTCTACTGTCATGCACATTTTGTTGTCTCATGGATTTTTTTGTGTGTGTGTGGTGGGGGTTTAATTGATTCTTGCCGACCTATATTTTTTTTATTTTTTTCAAATTGTGATAATACTGGACGATGATCCATAAGAGCCCCAAGCTGAACCAAGAGAGGGCGCAATTTACTTGTGACTGAGCTCCTGTGGTCGGAACCGCACTTCGCTGGTTCACGAACGATTATGAAATAAACGCACGAATTACGGTCACGTTGCTACCTGCAAAATAAACACTCCCTACCAAATTGGCTCTGCTCAACTGATGAGGGGTGCTTATGCTCAAGGCAGATAGGAGCTCCAGTTCTATTTATATGTGTTATATATGTCAATCCCCGTAGTCTTTGGCATGCCCCTGAGAGTAAAAAAAAATATGGACCCCCAAAAAGTTACTCAGGAGACAAGTCTTCAAAATTCTATTTCATTTCTCAGCACCGAGGTTAGGGGCAATCAATTGGCCATAATCGGACTAAACCTTAGTGGATCTTAACCTAACTGAACACACTTGATGTTCATGACTACTTTTTGTTTTCAGAAAAGTTCCAAGCTTGCCTTGGAAACCAGCTATGGGGGTGACATTGATTGATTCATTTATTAGTTTATTCATTCTTATCGTGGCCCAACAAGCCAAAGTACAAGAATCTTACATTAAATGTACGTAAAAAATTGAAAGCACAAAAAAAATTAATCACTAATCATAATTATAATTATTAAAACTAATAAAGAATTGAACGAATGAAATAGATCAAACCTACGTCAGTTGTTGAACTGTTTCGTTTGTATGCTTTTGAATGAATTCCGTAAGCTACAAGAAGACCTGTGTGGATTCTCTAATTATGAATTTTAAAAATTAATATAAAATGGAATGGGGCTATTCTTAAAACGGTTAGTCCTACATTGTTACCTTTTTTGAGCGACAGCACGAACCAAACTTTACATATAGAGTAGGACCCACACGAATTTGATGTTTTGAAGGTTGTGGTCAATCGTTCTGAATTGATTATAGAGACTGACGGAAAGTCTTGGACTCCTTTGTGAAACCGAAAAGGTAATGGCACAAGTATTTTGGCCGACAAACCATGCTGAGTGATTTTTTCCTTATGCTCCAGGTGGTTGCTGCTGATCGACCAACACTTCAAAATTGTGATGATCCCTACGGTCCAATGTCAGAGTTCCTCCCCGAGCGCAGATCTGTGTTGGGGGCTGGTCTATCCCCCGCCCCCACTCAAAAAATGTAAACAATGGGGACAATTAAAAAATCAGCTACAGTAAGTGTTCCAATAGCATTGGAAACAATGTGTGTCATGTGAGGTTTTATCATCCTTTTCGCTTGTCCGCAAAATAATATTTAAAAAATCGCCAGAAAAAGTTCTGGATGCGCCCCTGCTCCCACTTGCCAGTCGCAACTGTTGAAATGTCGGCCTACAGCAACCTATTTTTTGGGTAAAATGTTCAAAGCGCCGTCGCACAAGATAAGAAAATATCCCCAGCACCTCCCCCATGCTCGCATTTTCCCGCTGCATGCAGTGAGGACAGACTGTCACTGGTAAACGGTGTACGCTTGGTTATAGGATGTATTTGGCCATGGCCCGTGGGTACCAACAGTCATTTCAAAGCCACACGTGTCTGTGACTGAACTCCGTCCTTCCTAAGGATTTTGCATAGAAAAGCGGCCCTAATTTGCAGATAGGCCAATGGTTGGGACATGAAGAATTCATCTGCCTATACTTGAAATGGTGAGTAATACTGTACTAGGGTTAATATTAACTAGAATATCCTTTCAAGTGGAAAAACCCGATGTGTTTACAAACGGTGGCCCAACATGCCCAATTTCTGGACAACTTGAACGTTACGGTTTGATGTACACGTACATGTAGGCTGTACTGTGTGCATGGTGTGTGCAGTCGAGCAAATCCTGCTGTGAACGTATTGTTTTTGATATACATGTATGTACTTGAGGACTGTGTCGAATATCCGAATTCGATCGATTATCGGTTATTGTTTTCCATATTTGAATATTCGAATGCAAAATTCATGAAAAGGAAGGGAGAATTTTCTTTTGTTGTAAATGAGAAAAAATCGCACGATAGAGGCTTGTTTAAAGCAGATTCAAATGAAAAGCGACAGAATGATACATGTCTTACAACATGTACAAATATATTTACAATGATTAAAAAGTTAAATTATTCATAAAAAATTAAATTATTCTTAAAAACTTTGTAATGAACAGGCATTTTCAACAGGAAAAGAAATTTTGGTTGTCTGTTAAATTCCTTCCTCCGTGGTTAAACCTTGCTAAATCGTGGCTGGAGATTACTCCTTGAAGTGAGACATGGAGACAAGCAACTGAACCAGTCTATGAATATTTGGATATTTGATAGAATTAAAGGTCAAATGTTCAAATTGTGAATTAATTTCATATTGATTCAGCCCTACTGTACATGTAGCTACTGTATGTACCCCTTCAACCTTGCATGTTCAACTTCTCTGAGCCCAATAGGAAGACACACGTTTGCCATGTAGGCCTACATGTAGGCTCTCTTCATGACCATGGTGACAAAGTCTTTCAAACCAGATTGTCAGTTTACCCCAAAATTTTGCACTAGTGTTGCCGGGTTGTTGATATTCAGTGTACGTTTTTATTTTTGGAGGACGTACATGTACATGTCTCTTACAAGAACTGCAAGTCGCTACTCCCTGCTCCATGTGACTTGCAGCCCCATGACTTTTTACGGCTTCATAACGCTATGGGTTTTTTAATGCAGTACAGTTAAATCTACTTGTTGAATTCCAAGTCACTCCTCCGTGTGACTTGGAGGTGTACGACTTTATATGGGTTCCTAACACTATGACTATTTCTTTTCCAAGAAATGGTCAGGCTAGGTCAGAAGATTTACAGCGATATACACCAGTTTTGATGACTTTGGGGGATTTGATTGAGAAAGTGGATTTTGTTTAAAACATGAATGTACCCCTATTTGACATTTACTGGGCTGCATTCATAAACCAATAGTGTTACAAACTCATGAAAAGGCATACACATCCAAGTCACATGGAATAGTTACTTGGAGTTCTGCGAGTATGTCAAACAACTTAGATCCGCAAGATTAGTTTGTAAAAAACAGAATGAAAACGTTGGAAGTTTTGGTACATTTTGATAAGTTTTGATAACATGTGACCTGTCACCACAAAATGAGCTGAAAGTCTGAATTTTCAAAAACTGAGATATTGGTCTTTTTTAATTCAGCAGAAAGAGAGCCTTCCAATGGCACATACATGGGACACTAAGGGGAAAAGTATCAGGTGACAATGTGACATGATTCTGGCAGCTTTGCGTCTTTGTTCCTGACATTCTTTCAACATTTCAGACCAGGCACGAATAATGCTATCGTCAAAATTGCTGAGAAAATGACATTTTAAAATATGTGATTCTGCGAAATATTTGGAATTAAATAGGAGGCGGGTAACTCTTTCCAAATAATACAAAACCCCAAAATTGACCTCTACTTCAATATGACTTTGAATCCTCAAAACAGGAAAGAGTGGGATGCGACTTTACTCTCATTTTGTCTTTGCAGGTCACATACATGTATGTCATTTTTCTGTACTTGGTAAATTTTCCTTTATGTCTGTCATTACCTACATGTACCGTCTATCATTTTAACAGTTATTTACATTTCTAACAGCCCCGTCCATGGATATACCCATTGCTGGGGTCTCATACGTGTGTGTTACTGCCGCAATGGCCAAAGGTGTCTGAAAGTACCCCATTTTTTTCCAAAGTCAAAACAAGGACTTCTGCAATGAAAAACTGCCTGCATGTATATAATAAACTTGTACCAATCATACATGTACTTTTACCCTTTGGGGCAGTTAGCAGTGAATAATTATGCTGGCATTATGGTCTCAAATTTGTTGCATTTCTTAATACTAAAATAGTTCAGGCCTAATGAGATATTCGTGACTCTTGAGGAATTAGAGCTCAGAAAGCAGACATCTTATGGATTGTGTCGGACGTGGATGAAAAAATGGGTCCATCAAGAGAACGAAAAAGTTTTTGCTGCATTTGGAATTAAGGTGAAAATGTTAGCAAGTTTTTTCCATTGCCGGATCAAGTGTAAGGTGACTCCGTGCAATTATTCAGGAAAATGGGGTGAATTACATGTACAAGTGAAATGGAACATTTATCACAAAATAAATTAAGGCTATTGTGTTTCCTTTGAAAGTACATGTAGTACCAATTTTTTCTAGATTCATAAATAAAGTGCTTCTAAGGCCTTCCTAGAAACCATTTCTTGATACTGTGATAATACCACAGTAATAATAATGTACTCCACCTCCACCTGCATAAGGTGCGCACACATTGTCTGAGCCATTGTAGAGGAAACTAAAATGATCCACAAACAAAATCTTCTAAATCGAGGTAAAAAGTAAGAGTTCAACAACAGCAAGGACAGGATAATTCTGGAACGTGAGCGAGAAATCTATATTTTGATCGGGAAATGTGAGAACTATCATGATAATAGAGTAACCCATCCCAGGCCCTCCAAAAAATATGAACACTGAATATCAACAACGCTCGTGTAAAATGTTGGGGCAAACTGACAATGATCACGGTTTGATGCTCTCTTTGTCGTGAAGATACATGGAAACAAGTATGTCTTCCTACTGGGCTAAGAGAAGTGGAATATGCGAGGTTCCAGGGGTAGCGCCATATACATGAGTCTGTCCTCACTAACGCATACGTTTGTACCTAATTAATGAAATCGGAGGATTTGGGCTAACAATGCTGGAAAATTTAAACTTTACATTTATAGCTTTTGGAGCAACAACTACATCTTCTTCGTTGCATCTGATGAAATTGTTGTTGCCATGAAAGCTTATGAAATGCAAAGTTTTACCTTTGTCATTAAAGTGCTACATGTACGTGTATAATTTTTCCATTGTTGTTATAGTGGCTACCCACCACTTTAACAGTGTTGATAGTCAAAAATGAACCGTAACAATTTTGCTAATAATTTAAATAATTGTAGTGATATAGTTTTACACAGTTTGATAAGATTTGGCTGTTTGTTGTTAAAATAATCAGGATCTTGATGAAAATGTCCAGCTTATATTAGGGGTTCCGGTGGGATATGCACATACAGTAACTGTGTCAGCTCATGTTTTTCAGGGTAGCTAAAATACCACTCTAATGGAAACAAACAATTCTTCTGTTAAAACATGGATACTAAATAAGATTTGAGAAATGTGTCAAAATATCTATGGCTTGTCATTTTAAGTTATAAATATCTTAAACAGGAATTTAAGGAGAGCTAATTAAGTAGTAACATACGTCACAGTGTCTGTCCACAGAGTGACAAATTTGAAATAGGCTGATTTTGCCATTCCTTGATATAAAAATATATCTTCCTGAGAAAAGTTTTGACAATAATAGTTTACATCATATTTTTTTTTTTTCTATGAGACGACAAAACTTAGATTTGACCTTAGGAATTGCAAATGTCTGTCCACTATTTTGTAACTATTGTCACTATTTTTCCCTCTAAATGTAAAAATCTTAGAAGACGTATCTTATGATTACATGTACATATTATACAGTTATTACAAGACCAAATTAAATAAAATAACGAACAATTGATTTGAAAGAGTTGGTTCATTTTGCTGAAATGAAAGTGAGAAGACGGTCAGTTCCCAGGTCGTGACATGTGACAAATGTTACATCTGTCCATGTAACTAACATTACTCACTGAGAAAAACTTACATGTATGTAATGTTCATTTTAGCTGAAGCTCAATAGTCTTTTTAACAAAAATGATTTTGAAAACCGAAAACAAACAAGTTTGGTTGTGAACATTTCTGTTTTCACGCTCTAATTCAAACACCAGAAAAATGTCTGTCCATGTGACAAACGTGATGTCTGTCCAGTAACAAATGCTACATTTTTTTCTTGAAATGAATTTCAGTGTTAACTACACCGGAATTGTTTTTCTGAGAAAATTTTTTTCTAATAGTAAACTGAAAAGAGTATTGAATACATTGCAGGTAATTGTCAATTATGTTTTGAATTTAATTTTCCTTCTTAAGAAACAAAGTGTCTGTCCATGTGACAAACGTTATATCTCCAAGAATAAACTTCTGTAATTTCTCAAATACTGCTCAATTTATCTTGACGTTTCTGTGGCAACAATCAGAAACAGTGAAGACATGTGTAAGCCAAAAATAATGCCAAATGTAACAATTGGAAAGTTGTATTGAGTGTCACGCAAGTCTATTTTTTAGTGTTGATAGGCCCACATACATGTACATGTACAGTACGCCTACATGTACATGAAGGGCTGTGCTGGAGTCTTGGTACGTGTGTAGCGTTTGGCAAAAGGTATTTTACACAGTTAATACCAAGATGCTGTACCTCGGTCGTACAAAGAATAATGGCACCATTGGACGAATTATGTCAGACTCGTTTGAAAGTTTAGTGTTTTTTAGACCTCCATGAGATCCAGCCTTAACATGTACATGCGGTTTTACATGTATTTTGTCAGCAAAATGAACTTAGTGTTCAGGTGCTCATCGATGGAAACCACTGCAGTGTTGGGGAGAAACAAAGCAGGGCATCATCAAATTTTTTTTCTTTCAGCAGACTTGCTTTGAGGAATATGTCATTGATTTTAAAATATCACCGATGTCTTGATGCTCAATATTTTTGTTTTATATATATTTTTAGGCAATGCATGTGTATCGTATTTCTCCTGGCTATATTTATGTGTTTGATTTATTGATGTCAGTGTTTTAGGACAAAAGCAGTGTTAAAGCACGCACAAAAAGTTCATAAAACTAAGCCTTACTATTTATAAAATGTTGTATGACCTATTAAAGTGATTTTTCTTCCTCATGCCTACAGATTTCATGACACTGTCTCACCCACCTGAAGTCAATTTGCTGCCGCTTCAGAGAGGGGAGTTCCCTATGGCAAGCTTCATGAAACAAGGACGACGTGTACATGTAGCATGCACAGAAGCAACATGAGCACTAACAGTGGTCAACCTTCGTACATCCTACACGAACCTGTCATTACAGCCAGAGACATCCACGCAACATGCATTGCGACAAGGACAGGCCGAGACTTCAGACACTACTGGTTCTAGGTCCATGCAACATCCAGTGCACAATGTCTACCTGCAGCACTGGGCTACATGAAAGCTGCTGTATGTACAACAGCTGTGCAACAGCTGACAAATACCTGAAGGATGAGCCACACTGGAATCAGCCACATCAGCTATGCCTCGTGTACTTGCCCCTAAAGACTTCAGCCATCACAGAAACCTGTCATCTTGGTGGAACCCTCACAGTCTGTTGTCACAGACTCTAACTTCAGCCCCATCATCAGTTCGTCTGCTCAGTGACCTGAGCTGCAAAGTAGTCATACCCCTAAGAGGTTGTGACATGCGTTTACGTACCTCCTCGACATCATTGGAATCCACATCACTTGTGCATCAACTGCGGGGTACCTGATCTCTAAAACTTCACCAGTGCACCAATTCATGGAAGAGTATCTTCTGAGTTTGTAGGATGTCACTGTAGTGCTGAACATTACTTGTGTTTATCTACCGATCATCTCACTTATTGGAAGACTCGAGTTTTGCATATCTCTGAATTGTATTCCAGAGTTCTCATCATCCATGGCTTGAGTCCACCACACCAGCAGTGCTTCAAGGAATCGACTTCTCAAGACTCAAGTAATTGCAGGAAGCCTTGTCATTTTACATGCTGTGTTATGCAACTGAAAGACATCTCTGGAGGCCACCACATCAGCAGTGTACTTTCTACTTGACTTGAATCTATATGTCTTAAATTTCTTTCCCTGGCCACCAACCTTCATCCCTTCGACTCCTCGAGAGTGATTGTGCATCAAAGTTGAGAGATTCAATCCGTCCCCATGCAATAAAATTAGACTCTTTAGATTTAAGTCATGCATGACTTGTACATTTGCTGAAATGAATATGCACGTGTTGTACATGTACGTGTATGCCAATGTCTGGACGATGTGTGAGGCTGCTGTACATGCAGGGGACTTCTTGAAAGCCGTGATAAATCCAACATGAGTTCCAGCATGGGACGGCTCATGGTGTTATGCGTGACATGCATTCTAGGAATTGCTGAACTGCGCCGCTGGATGCACCATTAATCAGTCAGTCACACCTGTCAACTCGTCGATATTGATCAATCCGCCCTCCTTTGCCCATTCCTTTTTGTTCTCTTGAACCTTGCACGAGCTGCTACTTGCACCTGTGACTGTTGAGGGGCCTACTGCAAGCCCCCCTGTGGATCCGTTGTTAACTTCTGTATGTACCATTCATTGGACATCCTGTGACTTTCCTTGAGATGAGACATCCTGGCTGTCTTGGGCCAGGAGAGGTTGCCCGTCGTCGTGTTGATGACATCAGTACAAGAACAATGAACTATGCACTCTGATGAATAATTGAACTCTGAACTGCTTTGATAAAGCATTTGGAACAGTGGCAAGACAGACCCAAGCCTCACAGAATGCTGTCTTTCAAAGTTGGAAGCAGCTGAATTTCATGTGTGCGTTGCAGAGATGAAAACTTCAAAAGTATTCTTTTAATAACAGGAAAAAAGTCCCGATCAAAAGTCTTACCTCTTTGATGAACCAAATTTTGAAATTTCTGAAGATATACTTCAGTTTCTGCATCCTGCCATTACAGATTTTCAAAATAGTTTTGTGTAACAGGGAAAACAATCCTGAATTTCCACAATTTCATGAAACTGGAAGTTGGAAATCAAAGAGCATTTCTGTGAGGGCCCGTGGTCTGAGTTCAAGTAGGATAAAGCATTTTGAGTATTGCCTGTTGGATGCTGGGTACTGGATTGTTTTGATGGGCATGTATTGAGCAGAACACATGCTTTCAGTATGCTGAAAAACAAAAATCAGTTATGTATTGGACGTACATGTAATTTGTATCCGCATGAAAGTCAGATGTGACGGTTTGTCATGTGCGGTCTGCAGCCAGTATACTCCCTTAGTGAAGCATTTGTACTTAAAAGTGTTATAAACTGCGCAATATCTCTGGTCTCAAATTTCCTCTTGACACTCAAACCTGTGAACAGATGCATTACAACTGATTGACAATACACAAAGGACCAGTCTGGTACCCAGCATTCTGAGTATAATCAGTACTGGCAACATTACTTAAAAGTGATAATGATTCTAAAG